TTTGCTGCTGTCTGTTTGGACCTTTCTGAACATGTGCAGCAAATGGACTGATCCAATATGGTGGACACTGAAGGGGGGGGCTGAGACACACTTAATATTATCAGCGTTCTGATGGCATTTTAGCCAAAGGATTTTTATCAAAAACATAATTAATGTGAACCAATAAGGAATAGTTGTATTAACCATACAGGGAAACAGAGTTTTATGGGGCCCCCAGGAACTTGGGGCCCTAAGCAGCTGCCCAGTATTGCCTAATGGTGAACCCCCCCTGTGAATGTGTGCAGGTTGTTCATGCAATGTTAGAAATAATAAGGCAGAATAGTTTCAGGAACTAATAAAGCTCCCAATAACATCTAATCTAAACTCCCCAAACCTCCAATTCTCCTCTCATCTTGACCTTTTTTTTATGGATGCCGTGCTCTCGCGTTTTGGTGGAAGCTGCTTGGATGTCCAGCTAACATTTAGCTCCATCTGTGATGTTTGATTCCAACAAGGGAAACCTGGGAGTTTCTGACTTGTAAAGTCTGACTTTTCCTTCCAAGTCTTATCTTAAAATCCAACATGGCCGCTCCACATAGGAAAAGTCGTGATGAAGCTCCATTCATAGACGTTTCTGCAGCCAGCGACTCGTCTGTTTGTCCTGTTAGGAGCTTTGAGTGGACGCTGGTTCTGGATTTGTTCTGATAAACTGAAATAGAGAGATTGGATTGAAAAAAAAGGTTTTTCACAGCAAAAAATGGAAATCTAAATAAGTACATTTTTATTAAAATAAGTGATTTTTTTAATTGAGGAGGAAAGTGAGACTCTTTGCCAATGGAACAAGACAATTAACATTTAAAATAAGAAAAAACACTTGCATTGTCTCATCTCACGTGCATATTATCTAATTATCTAATTCGAAGAGTAAACATACTCATTTCATTGGCACAACATCTTATTCACCTACTCAAATTAAGGATAAATACACTTCGATTTAGACATTTTTACTTAATTCTAGATCGTTTTTGATAACAATGTAGAATGACGCGAAGAAAATGTATTGAACATGTGAAGAATGGAAGGTGCAAAAAGGTCTGGAAAGCAAAGACACCAGCTGAACTCCCTCAGTTATTAGAAAGCAATCCTGCTAACTGATATCAGCTGGTTCAGTGCCAAATGATGCCTTATAGGAAGGTCTCTCTAGAAACATCTCATCTTGTTGAAGCTAATTTATAGTTTGTTGCAGAACATTTATCATCCATCTACCAGGATGGTGAAGATGAAACATGGGTGGACATTTCAGCAAGACCCAAACACACAGCCAAGGAAGAAAATAAAGCCCAGCCAATCAGCTGACTGGATGGATGGATGATGGATGGATGGATGGATGGATGGATGGATGGATGGATGGATGGATGGA